CACTGCCCGAAACTATCTGGGAATCACGTTTCTATTTCACTTGTGTTCCATTCCATACAGGTATAACTCCATCAGTCAGCCTTTTCAAGTATACATGTTATATATCCCTGTAAATGTATCTATCTACGTTTTTTGAGGATGTCTGTTTGAAATTTTGTCTTGACTGATGAATATTTTCTTGATGATAACATGTTCGATAAAATGCACGGTTGTAAATTCTATCTTCTTTCAGTTCGAGTCCTGGTTAGTGGTTACTCTATTAGCTGCAGACGTGCAAGTTCTATTCTATTACCAGTTTTATAAGCCTGTCTGGTATGGTTTCTGCTATTCTTTCCTATAAAAGCTCTTCTGTCAAGACAAAATACTTCTAGAAAATTATTCAAACATATTTAAAAGCAGCTTATTAATCTCATAAGCTATTTTTGACTTTTCAAAAGCCTTGCCTTACGGGCCATATGTCTGATCGATTCACTGCGTGGTGATAAAACTACTCTGTTCTCCTTAATCAGGACTATAAATGAATTTAGTTGCTGGATTTTCTTTTGTGGAAACTTGTTGCTAACTGAATAATGAGGATTTCATCAAATCAAGTTGTAGTTGGAACTGGGAACTGGTGGAGCACCATTATGTCATCAATTTACTTAAGCTTTACTACCTTGACACAACTTAATTAATGTGGATTACAATCAAATAATTCCATGAACATATACTTCTGAGTAGTTTACGAATGCAATTTGATGCTACTTGCTTTCTTATTCAGGAATAGATGGCAACAGTTGCAAACAGCCATCAGTTGTACTGTAGAGAAAATAATTTTTTGATTGAAAAAGGCAACAGACAAAACAAGAAAAGGCACATATTATTTGATACCGTCAGTCCACCAATGAAACGAAAAGGTAACAATGAATATATTAATATTATAGACTCCATGGCGCATGATGCATCCGTTCTTCTCGGGAAACTCAAGCTCACGCACCGTTGTACCTCTTACATTACTCAACGAAAGGGAATACTATGCACAAGCACAAGATCATTGAGCTCTGCTGAGAAGCATGTGGAATCTTTAGATACTTTTCTTAGAAAAGTCCATAATGATGCCAGGCAGCCTTCTTTGAGTAGTTTGAACCAGATGACAGATTCAGTTACTAGTAGCGATAAATTCAAAGCAGAAAATCGTCTCAGATCCCTGGAGGATTATCTTGGCAAAGTTGATGAAGGTAATGTCTCTTGATAGCATGAAATTCTTGCTTTCTCACAATAAACTTGGATTCTGA